TTGGTGAAATTGGCTGGACCGTATGAAAATTTTGAAATTCTCGCTGGAATTTCAAAATGGGATGACCTCGTTCGGATGGATAGAGACAAAGTGGTGACTATTCATCCCCCTTTGGTTACACTCCAAGACACTTTAGATACGTCAATAGTTGACTCAGATATCAGTGAGCATAGGGACTTTGTTGATTTAATTCTAGCATTGACGTATGACTCAACTAAAGAAAATATTCAATTTTTTTTGGAGAGGAAGGCTTTGATTCCGTCAAGATTGAATCAAAATCCTTTAGATTTGCAGTCGGACAAAATGAAATTGTCATATTTGAAATTAAAAAATCCTGGATGCGCAAGATTAATTTCAAAAAAGAGCAAGCACCTGACATCTACAGATTTATAAACCACCTCACCGGATCAGATAATTTTAGGGAAAGCAGAAGATTTGGTTCCATCACGGTCTCTTCAAATTTCAAAAACTCAGGCCGGTATGTGAAGATTGCTAAAGAAAAGGGGAGCTTCATAATAATCCCCATTGGCCCAAAAAAACTCCAATTTAAAAAATTTCATGACAATATTCTCTAATTTTGTTGGACCGGCTAATTTAGTGCAGGAGACAACAATGGATTAGCTAAAAGAAAACATTTTAGTTACAGAGGAGCCAAAATCAATATCTAAACTTATTTTCGACTCCCAAATTCAAGGAGCCTACTCAAAGAATCAAAGGTCTCCAACTCTAGTAGAACGGCACAGGCTTGTTCAGGCTTACTCAGACGCATCAAACAACTTTTATCAATCAGATTCTTCTTCTTTTATGGACGACTTTCTGGGACATGCCACTGAAAGCAATCGTCGTCCCCCTATCTCAACTCCAGGAGAAATCACGAAATCAAAATATAACAGAGCAATCTGCAGGAAATCAAAGTTTGTTACTTCAGAAAATTGCCTGCCAACGGAAAACCTAAACATGCAACTAAAAATCTACATGAAATCTCAAAAGAACAAAAGGAGGCACAACATGACTACTAGGTCTCAGTCAAAAGAATTTTCGTGGGTGTAGTTTTAGTCTTTTCTTTCTCTGTATCGTTTTTTTCTTTTTTTTTTCTTTTTATCTTTCTTTTTCTGTATTTTCTTTCTCTGTAATGTTAACTTTTTTCAATAAAATTTTCTTTTTTCCAAACAAAAACAAAAAAAATATGGAGTATGTTTCAAGAATTTATTTGTATATTTATTATAGAAATCACAATTATTTTGAAATGGCTGTAATTTTTTAAATTGCAATTATGATAATTTTGGTAATAAAAGAACAATGCTTAAGATTAAAAAGTCAAAAATTGGGCAAAAATTAAGTAAAAATGAACAAGCATGCATTCAGAAACATGAAATTGCAAACGGCAAACTCCGTAACCTTTTTATATTCATGTCAGATAAGTTTTATGTAGAAAGCTCCCATAAAACTTGTACGAATTGGAACTGGAAAAAATCAGTAAAAATAAGTTGTGTTTAATTAATTAATTTGTTAAAAGTTGAAAAATCAGAACGTAACTTTGAATATATGTTTATTTATTGGCGTTGGAATACAAAAAGGTTGGAAAATGCATTGAAATGTGAAAAGCTGGAAACACCGGGCTACGCACTGCATTTAATTTAATGTCCATCAGTCCATGTTAGAAGAGTTTTATCGAGAACTTGCTGAGGAATCTATCCCAAGAGGTTTTATTTTATCCTAGGGAAAGAAATGACCCAATTGGTTTTGGTGTCAACCTGCTGAGGAAGAATCATTTTGTTATTATATTATGAAAGATAGATAGAGAGTATCAAATAATGGCATATATATTATTCAAATAAGGATGGTGGATAAAACCATGACATGTTATATAGAGTGGTTTATTATAATTTTTAGTAATTGTATTTATGTAAAATTGAATTTTACATTATAATTATCATAATTATTCATACATATTTTGTCATTTTTGTCAACGACTAATTTTAGTAAAGATTTAGGAAAAACATATTCTTTTATTCATAATATTTACTTGTAAATAACCATGCAAATATTACTCAAAAGATGATCAAAGTGAAATTTCAGCATTGTTGCTATCAGTCGATCACTAAGTGACTACGTACGGTAGGGATTTTAGTAATCGGAGAAACAATTATATTCGAACAAACAATTATGATGAAGTGTTTGCGATTGCTTCTACTTTAAAACGGTAAATTTTCAAAGTAATTTTGGAAAAATTGTTTAGTAATAAAAGTTGACAGTGTTTGAAAAAAAAGTGAGTATGAAAAAGTAAACGTTGGTAGTGTTTGATATAATAAGTGGTTTTTGTGTAGTAGAAAAAGTGAAAAGCAGTTTAAAGCACTTCTCAACCTGCTTCTAGCTTTTAGTTTTTAAGTGATTAATTTAATTAGAAGTTGTTACTTGAAAACACCAATTTCAAGTTTTTTTAAACCAAAAGTTAAAAAGTTTTTTTTTAATGTTTTTGCACACACCTTGTGCCAACGTCTTTGTCACTCATATTACTATTCAATGTTGTTGGATAATAAAAAGAAGGAAAATGGAAATTTTAAAAAGCAAGTTGTGACAACATACATTGCCTTTGATTTACTCACGACAAGTTCGCCTTGTGCGCTTATTTATTGCAATAGTTTTTTTATCGTCAAATAGCCTTCTTTCATATCACAAATTTCCGGATCATTACATCAGTCAAAGGAAAAACAAATCGACACCAACTAAATTTCAAAAACTACGACTGTAAACCCTATGATCAGACTTAGAGACGATCACCCCTGAAAGAGCAACGCGAATCGCTAACCATGTAGCGGGCTTGACACAGCCATCCTTGTCCCCATGGATCCAAACATAGACATAAAAAAAAGGCTGAAATCCCAAACAAATTGACAAACCTAACAACATAGACGATAACAAGAATCCAGATGACAACAAAATAATTAATAACTAATAGGAAAACTTTCACGGACTCTATCACCTCGTACAACCCATGGCGGTGGTTCCGGAGGGGGCCGTATACTTGGCATCATTCTAATTGACCCCCCATTGTCAATCATCATCTGATCTGCTCGAAAGCCGCACAATTCTCCTCGTCCCGCTCTCTTAGCAAATCCACCGCCAACGGTCATCTTCATCGTTGCCATGCCCTTGCCACCCAAACTCATTCTCCCCCCCCCCCCCCCCCCAAAAAAAAAAGAGAACCAATCGGATATGCCCACTGCACACCAACAATCCTGTCCGGAATCCGAACGTTTGGAAGACAAAATCCGGCTAAATTGCAAAGCAACGCAAAACTGTTCGAAAATGCAGCCCCGCGTCGGCCAAAACTTCCAAAACTTGGGAAGGTTTTTGAAGAGATTGTATGCCAACCGAAGAAAAGCAGCCGGCCGAAGCCGCCGGAACCCACGACCTGAGGAGGTCGCCGTTGGAGAAAGAGCTAGGCGTTGCGTGAGGCAACCCTAGAGAGAGACGAGAGCTGCAAAGGGGCCTTGTTTATACTATATATGATTTATTGCAATATTTTAGTGCTGTGACTATAACGTCAGTCAAAACTAACCCACTTTATACCAGATTAGTCCCCTAATAAATGGCTCTATGAACTCTATCTTAATCATCGTGTTATGTTATCTTTAAAATAATTCAATAATCACAAGCATCAACCCATGTAAAACTTCTAAATTGGCCTCCTAAATTCATTTTTGGTTTCAATTGCATGAAAAGTTTCAATTGCCTTTGATTTACTCACGACAAGTTCGCCTTTTATTGCAATAGTTTAGTGCGGTGACTATAACGTCGGCCAAAACAAACCCACTCTATACCAGATTAGTCCACTAATAAATAACTCTATGAAGTACTCTATCTTAATCATCGTGTTATGTTATCTTTAAAATAATTCAATAATATAATCTCAAACATCAACCCATGTAAAACTTCTAAATTAGCCTCCTAAATTCATTTTTGGTTTCAATTGCATAAAAACTTTTTCTTTCTTGAACAGAAGAATCTCCATCAGTACGATTCAGTGATAATTTTCGGAAAGAGTTAGTATTTCTTGTAACATCCAAATTGTTTGCATGTTGCCACCTCTTGAAAGAAGTGATTCTATTTGGATTGAGCTTTTAATTTGTGGCGATAAAGTGCAAACAACACTTTATATTTTTATGACTTCACATTTTTTCTAAGTGGGTTATGTTATATCCCACATACTTGGATATTTCAGATTAAAATCACATAAAATATGAGTAGACTTAACTTAAATTGATTGGACATGACTAGACTTAAAACAAATAAAATCACACCAGCTTCGCTCTAAATAATAGAGGATAATGATATGCATAAGAAAATAAAATAATAATGATGTACTCAAAATGTCAAGAAAATTACTTTTTGTACACATAATTTAAGCACACTTTTCTGTATATACAGACATCTCGATTAGAAAGAAACAACAATTCTCTGTATACGCAGACGAGTGTAAAATATACACAAAATGCAAAAGTTATCCGTGCAGATAGAAGAGTTTGTCAAATGTGTGCAAATTATGTGTACCACAAGAATGGTTGAAATCTAAAACATGAATATGTCATGAAACCAGAGGTTCTAAACTCAAACAAGTCATACTATACGAAAATAACAAACTCTATGAGTTTCAGGGCCCGTTCGATAACACTGAAATTGGCTCAATTAGTTAAAGTTTATGAAATTCTAAATGGAATGATTAGATCCGCTGAAGTATGGAAGTATTATATTCTAACTATATTTTATTAATAGAGCGAGAAAAATTATTACTCATTCCAACGTGTGAAATGAAATTATGTGTTTGATTAAAAAAATATCCGATAAAACAAAAAACTCGGATACTAAACGAAATTTAAATATTCCCCATCACATTTCTAAAATATTTCAAAAGAAATGGATATATTTAAACTTCATCTCATCTCATGCTAGACACAAGTGAAAATTTATAAAAATGAAGGAATTATATGATAGGTAGTATTTATTAGAGTTTTATTTAATAGACAAAAATTAAAAATGTGAACAGCCCATTACTGGTGCGGGTACCGCCTCCTCAGTTCAGTATGAACAGCCCTCCCTCCGATCGACAGATACGAGTTCATGAAAGAGGAGCTGAACATCCCTCCCTCCGATCGACAAACGCAATAGGAAATCCGGCGGCTTTTGTTAGCGGCGTCGGGCTTGGTGAAAGAGCTGAGCTGAGCTGTTGGTGAAGGAAGCCAGGCCAGAGAAATGGAGAAAGTAAGCATTCACTAATTAGAATCAGTTCCCACACCGACGACGGAAGGCTGGGCGACTCCTGACTGGGTCTATAAATAATAAGGTACAGTTGCAGATATACTCACCCTTTGGGACTGACCAAGTCCCGCTGGGTTGGGCTGGCCACCCTTTGGGGCCGGCCCCGGCTCCCTCTTTGGGTGCCATTAGGCTTAGGTAGGTAGTTAGGGCTAGGCTTAGGTTAGTTTAGTCTTAGGCTTAGGTTAGTTTAGTCTTAGGTTAGGCTTAGGTTAGGCTTAGGTTAGGCTTAGGGCGGTGGGGGCGTTATGCTGCCTCCATGCCGTCCTGGGCCGCCCGGGGGGCGTTATGCTGCCTCGGTGGCGCCGCGTGGCGCCAACCCCCCGTGGGGGGGGGGGGGTAGGGGGGGGGGCAGGAGTAGTATAGGGGAGTCGTGGGGAGGAAGAAAAGGGGGGAAAGGGAGTCGAGGGGGGAAGAGAAGGGGAAAGAGAAAAGTAGAGTATCGATTATGGAGTATGTTGAGATATATAATAGCCTCTCCACATACGACTTTTGATACAAATAAAACAAAAATGTGAGGGTGAGCCTCCCCTCACAGTTCTTTCAATAAAAACAGACAATTTAGGGACCACAAAGAAAGTGTGAAAGGAAACACAGAGTTATGATATCTTCTCGCTTCCCTTTCCAAACAGGAAAAGGAAAAAAGAGTGAGATGAACAAGATATTTTATGAACTTCCTCCCACTACTAATCTATGTGGCTGATCTGTAAGCATCTACCATGTTGGGGTTGTGATGCTGGAACTAATATTATGATCACCAAATGTGTTCCAGGTAAGTTTTAGGACACATGCTCTTTTGGATCAGCACCTAGAAGGGTGGAATGAAAGCTTAAAGGAGCTTGCATTCAAGTAAGTTCTGAATACAAGCACCAACAACAAAGGATTTGGTACATAAACCCTTGAGATGATCTTTCAACGTTATGATGTCCTCTATTAATATCTTCAGTTCCTACTCTATGAAATGTACCAAGTGTGCTCTTGGAACCATAATGTCTTTCTACATCCTTCTATTCATGTCATTTTTAGTTTACCGTGGGGCCTTTTAAATCGCTGGCAATCCAGGACTCCACATTCACATAATGATCCAGGTTGGATTTACACAGGTTGCGTCCTCACAATACAAGTGTTTAATCAACGACTCAGATGCAAATATGGTGAATAAAGGAAACTGACCTAGTGACCTGAATGTCAATTTCACTTCGATGTTCTGATTAGTGCTTCATGTTGCAACTACAAGTGTTTCGTTACTGATTAAAAATTGCCCATGGAATTCTGATTCTCTTTTCTAAGTTAATTTTGGGGACATTTTGTTATGTTCCATTTCATAATGTTTAATGTGATTTCTTGCGCTAATCATTCTGGGTATTGGTGTATAGGAGCCGTAAGTTTATATGGGAGGAAATGTCTTATTTGGAGAGATGGTGGAGGGATGCATCAGATGCAAAGAAAGAATCCTTCATCAATTTAGTACAGAATGGACAACTAGAAATCGTAGGATGTGGTTGGGTGATGAATGATGAGGTAAGCCTTTGCTGTTAACGTAATGACACTTTTGCAATGTTATGCAAGTAATAATTTTTCTCTTCAAGTGCTGCATATTTCTTCCCATTGGGATCTGGGAATGGTGAACAGAAAGCCATGTTTTTAACGGATTACAGTGGCGATTTGACATTTTTCTCAGTAAAATTTACCATAATGAATGAGTTCTGGGTTTCCAGCTTGTTGAAAAAATGGGTTTATTTGTCTGGTAACAGTTGATTAGCTGGTTTTACATGTAAAACTGTAATCATATTTGGTACTTGTGCTGGCGCGCGTTCGGAAAGCTAGACTAAAATAATAATCTTTTGGAAACGTTATGTCAATTTTACTGGGACCCTTGGACCTTTAGAACTTTATTTCCATTTTGCTCTTCATATTTGGTTTTCTCGTCAAGGAATCATTTTTCTTGCAATTGTCTTTCAATCATCTGTGAATTTCTATTGCTTGTGCACCTGCAGCTTATTTTATTCTCTTTTTTTGACAGGCTAATTCACACCACTTTGCAATCATAGAACAGGTAAAGTGTATAATTCTCTTGTTTTTACTCACATTCTTCTTATTCCTGCTTTTCTTAAAGCTGCTGGCTCGATATATAATTATTTATTTTGTGGTTATGCGTTACCTTTTTGGCATTAGTTATTGTCTAGTTCATAAGTGCATATTTTGATTACACATAATAGGGCTGCTTTATTGATACCACCCAACTTTCTTTGCTTTGAGTTTCTAATTGAAAACTGAAGTAATAAGCTGAACAGATGATGCCAACTGGAGAATTAGATAGAGATTTATATGGGGCCCAAAATGTTGCGGTTCTCATTCACTTCTTTCACAGCAAATAGGAGCAGAAACTGGAGATGAAAACTCCCTGGAATTATGTTGTCAAAGATAATACTTCTTTCACCCATTTCTGCCTTGTTCATATCCCCATTTTCACTTTGATCAAGTTTCTGACATGAAATTGAATGAGGACCTACATATTTGACAAGATAATCTACTCTTGAAGCTTCTTCTTTGTAAGCAATATCAACAGATAAAGATTCTGCAAGATAAAATCTCCTTGCTTCCCTGTCCTGATCTGCCCCCAGCTTTATTAGGCCCAGTGAGGAGATAGGAGCCTTAACAATTCTTCCAAGTGGCCAGAGTTCCACTTCTACATTTCCAGCATCCTCAATAGTCAAATCCATATAGTCATTAAAATTGGTTTTATCTTTGGCACCCCCAGTCTTTACCCGAAACCATTCCCATGAACATGCACATATCTTCCCGCCGTTATCATACAACTGAATACATTCTTCAAATGGACCCAGTTGCTCTTCTTTACTTGCATCATCGTGAAACTTTGGTTGAACCTCAACAATTTTATCCATCACACCAATCCGGGCCCCGTAATCTGCCTTCTCAGTATCCACTATTTTTGCACTCCAGGCACCACTATATAGAGAATTGTTCCTCACAAGGTTCCCTAATCGTCCACCTTCAAGAGATCTTGTAAAATCATTTACTGGTCGATGCATAATGTTAGCAGCATGTTTAGAGTCTGATTGTATTCCATTTTTCAAGTCATTGATGAATGCTGCCTCTCTAGCTTTGCTATTACCACCATCAATAGCTTTGCTATTACCACCATCTGTAGCTGGGGATATAGTAATGATTTCCGGCTGAGCAAAGTCTGTGAAATTAGCTACTCCTACCTTAGGGCTTTGATTTCTACCCACAAGGTTTGCAGATGTAACTGGGTCTCCGATATGTAAAGCTGAATTTTCCATACCTATAAAGATTTCAGGAACCACTTCATTCTTATTGTTCCTTGAATCAGTAGTTGAAGATTGAGTCACCACAATTCTTTGCTCCTTGCGTTCATTGTCACTATAGTTAAACATGTCTTCCGAGGAAGGTTTCAGCTGATCTTCCAACTCCTGCTGTGAATCTTGGGACTCAAAGATAGATTGCGCCCGGGGAGGTTCTTGCGCATGATGAAAAAAATCTTGCGCACCAGAAGATTCTTCTCTTGGCCGCGTCGTACTCTGAGGTGAACAGAGAGAAGTAGTTCGCATATACGAACTAGGAGAAACGAAAAAGGTTGGAGCTGATTGAGAAGACACCTGCGAACTGAGAGAAATTATAGGCGACCGTGTATACTGGTTTTCTCTTCTGCCCAAAATACAATTAACTGCTACTAGTGGATGTCACAAGGTTCTGGTCAGCTTCTCTATTCCCTTTTTAAAAGGAAGACCCAGTGTGCATGTTGTAGAGGTTTCCAAATATATGGTCTTCGCGATTAGTACGCCAACTGCTACGTTGGAATCCTGCGAGTCAACCCATCACAAAGTTTTTTAAGAGATCATCATTGATACTTTTGAAATTTGGAATAGGTATAATTATATTTTAATAATTAATGCAATTTATATGTTTGAGTAGGAGGATCGACCGAGTGTACATGAAAGTTTGAGTTAATTTGCATCCTCTGTGTATACGGCGGCCTATTTGCTATGGTTCAACAAATAAATGTCGACTGTTCGATGATTGTAATAAAGAGATCAGGAACTGTTGACTTGCTCAAAGAAGTGAATACCTGAAATGATTGAACACAATGTAAGTAGCAGAAAAAATGCATCCTACAAATGTGATTTGACTGTATCTTGCTTTGGCAATGTACCCCACCCCTTATGAAACATGTTAAATCTTGAAGTTTACTAAACTAAACTTCAGAATAATAATGATCAAACTTCACTTACTAATCAAAACTTTGGAATATTATTATTATCATAGTCATTATAACTACTTAATTATTCCTACTACTGCTGTCGGTAGACTCGGTACTATCCAGAATTGTTGATGCTAAGCCGTGTCATTACTCTTGACGATGCTTATCAAGTATTACTCATGTTCGCTATTTATCTCCACATGACTTTTCATGGTAATCTTGAAAACGAAAATGTGTCGAGATTTTTCATTGAAATGAAACATAAATGTGAGCCTCACAGTTCTTTCAATATAAAAAGATAATTTAGGGACCAAAAGGAAGTCTGAAATCGGCAACTTGGCAAATAGGCATTGTATTTTTTTATGAACATAGGAGTTAGCAAGTTATTACGTATTCTGAATTCACTCAGGGAAAAATTGTTTTCCTGTGGGGGGGGGGGGGGGAGATTGAAAGGGAAACCGGGAAGAAGAAGAAGAAGAAGAAGAAGAAAGGGGAAACGGGTAAAGGGAGAGTAGAAGGGGAAACTTAAGAAAATAGAAAATTAAGTTGTATATCCAGTTATATAATTAAAGCACCAGTTATTTTAATTCTTCTGCCTCCATATATTTGAAACTTGAAATCTAGCCTTGCCACAAGGGTTTTATTATTCTCCAACTTCGTTTCTTGAACTTCTACTTTTATGGTCAGTTGCTTTGAAGATAAGGATCGTGGGAGATGCTTGGAAGGATATGCAAGTTTTTTTTGCTCAGGTTTGAATTAGATTATAAGATGCCCTTCTGTCATCTGTCAGGCACCCTTTTTAAATTAGAAATTACTCTGTCAATCATTTTTTACCTTAACCATCATTGGAACAAAGCTGATTATGAGTACAATTCTGAAGTTTGTTAATTTCACTTCATCTACTATTGAGTTTCTTCTTTCTGACTGTTTATTGGTTTATCTTCCCTTTCCCTGTAACATTCTTCCTGGCTGGTGTGTATATTATGAAGTATGTTGAGATATATAATAGCCTCACAGGTATATTTATGAAGTATGCTGAGATATATAATAGCCTCACAGGTATATGTTACTCCTGTTCGCTATTTATCTCCACATATGACTTTTCATAGACATCTTGAAAACGGAAATGTGTCGAGATTTTTCATAGAAATAAAACAAAAATGCAATTCTTTCAATAAAAAGAGATAATTTAGGGACCACAAGGAAGTGTGAAATCGGCAACTCGGCAAATAAGCATTACTGTATATTTTTTTACGAATTTAGAAGCTAGCAAGTTATTTTATATTTTGAATTCATTCAGGGGAAAAGGAATACTGTAGGAAACCTAGTTCATATTACTGGTGAATGTGGCTTAGTTGTTTTCCATACACATTACACATACTTCTAGGGAAACACAAAGTTATAATATCTTCTCGCTTCCCTTTCCAAGCAGAAAAAGGAAAAAAGAGTGAGGTGAACAAGATATTTTATGAACTTCCTCCGACCTCTAATCTATGTGGCTGATCTGTAAGCATCTACAGTGTTGGAGTGTTGGGCTTGTGATGCTGGAACTAATATTAGGATCACCAAATGTGTTCCAGATAAGTTTTAGGACACATGCTCTTTTGGATCAGCACCTAGAAGGGTGGAATGAAAGCTTAAAGGAGCTTGCATTCAAGTAAGTTCTGAATACAAGCACCAACAACAAAGGATTTGGTACATAAACCCTTGAGATGATCTTTCAACGTTATGATGTCCTCTATTAATATCTTCAGTTCCTAATCTATGAAATGTACCAAGTGTGCTCTTGGAACCATAATGTCTCTTAACACCCTTCTATTCATGTCATTTTTAGTCTACCGTGGGGCCTTTTAAATCGCTGGCAATCCAGGACTCCACTCTGCGTAGTAGGGAATTAGGGCACTACCTACTCGTTGGCAAATGTAGTATAACGAATGTAGTTGGTTCTCCCCCTGTCTTTTCTTCAATGATCACCACATCCATAAAAAGTCCTTGTTGCTGATCCCATCCTCTATAGTCTTGCCACAAATCCTTCTCGTTGGCAAGTGTACTATAACGAATGTAGTTGGTTCTCCCCCTGTCTTTTCTTCGATGATCACCACATCCATAAGAAGTCCTTGTTGCTGATCCCATCCTCTATAGCCTTGCCACAAATCCTTCTCATAGACACTCATTTGCGCCTTTATTAAATCTTTCTCAATAGTCCTACACTCTGATCCATATGTAAATGTTGGTCAGATTGCAATTCTGTTAAAATAACTTCCAATCATAGAGTTTACAGATTGTTCATTTCATCCAACTTATTTATCCCTTCCAATCTTTAGTGGCAGTAAATTTTCAGTATTAGTGCCTGGCATTATCCCTTCTTTAAAATATAGAATCTTAAACCGTAATCACATTGCTTTGGTTGTAACTAGTAAAAGAAGTTGCTCTCTGATTTATGAATAATGACTCTTCGATGACCAATTGACCACACATTCTATTATTTTCAATAGACTGAGATCATGCATGAAATAATGTAATCTGACTCTGGGAGCTCTTCCAAGCCTCACCACTCCAGGGCTACAAATAACCCAGTAAGCGATAAAGTTCAGCATTTCCTTTTTTTTATGCTTACTTGGCTGAGAAATATTTTCATTCTTGTATTTCTTCACTCCAGTTCCAAATCTTTTATGAAAAGACTTTTATCCTACTTCACAAGTATAATGCCACTAATTAGTGGTGCCATGATAATGAAATCTTCTAGGGTTCTGTTTTACCGGCTCCATGGAAATGCTCCAAAGAGTTCTTTTTGCGTCAATTGCATCCAATTGAAATTAATCTATTTTTACCTAAACAAAAGCAAATTGTTCAATGTCTATTTTTATCCATTAAATTTCAATCGTGACTTACTGTTTTTTTAAACTAACTACACATTTTTGCAACTTATTTATCTAAAAATGGGTGTAGTCGATTTGTTTTAAAGATATTAGCCCCTTTAAGCTTTAGAAATCTTCAAATTAGTCTTTTGATCTCTTTCTCTAAGAAAAGAGTTTAGAATATACAGTTTTGTGACATTCTGATTTTAATGAAGGTGATGGCGGCGACAATAGACTGCATATTGTGATTGGCGGTGATCACCTTATTATTCGTTAGATCGAGTTATTGAAGGTATATGTGATCTTATTAAGTAAAATAATTACTCCCTCCGTCTCCCTAACCTTTTCCCGTTATATTTTTTTCGCACGTCCCATTAAGTTTGTCTTATACCATATTTGGTAATAATTGAGTGGTTAGAATTCATTCTTACTTTATTCACACTTTATCAACTCAATATCAACCACAAAATTCAACCTTTTCTCAAAAACTACACCACACCCCCTTGTTCCAAAATTGTCCCAAACTTAGGGGGACGGAGGTAGTATTACCGAAGAAGTAAAATTGCATGCTTTATACTTTAATAGACAATTTTTAATTAGAAGAAGGTTAGATGAATAAAACCTCTAAAAAGATTCTCATCCTATCAAGAGGTAGTTGTAATCGAAACACAAAATTTCAAATTATGAAATAAAATATAAAAAGACAAATGCCCCATATTAAGAAACAAAAAATAATCTCAATTTTTATGACCAAGTAGTACTATATTAAAGTTACCTCCATGAGTAAGAGAATTACTCCGTACATTTTATTTACAGTCTAGCTTATTTATCTAACTCTTAAACACCACTTTTAGTGTCGCGATATGATTGTTAGGATATCCAAGTTCTTTTTTGCTCAGGCTTGAATTAGATTATAAGATGCCCTTCTGTCATCTGTCAGGCACCCTTTTTAAATTAGAAATTACTCTGTCAATCATTTTTACCTTAACCATCAATGGAACAAAGCTGATTACGAGTACAATTCTTAAGTATGTTAATTTAACTTCATCTACTATTGGGTTTCTTCTTTCTGACTGTTTATTGGTCTATCTTCCCTTTCCCTGTAACATCCTTCGTGGCTGGTGTGTATATTATGAAGTATGTTGAGATATATAATAGCCTCACAGGTATATGTTATGTTACTCCTGTTCGCTATGTATCTCCACATATGACTTTTCATAGACATCTTGAAAACGAAAATGTGTCGAGATTTTTCATAGAAATTAAACAAAAATGCAATTCTTTCAATGAAAAGAGATAATTTAGGGACCACAAGGAAGTGTGAAATCGGCAACTCGGCAAATAAGCATTACTGTATATTTTTTTATGAATGTAGAAGCTAGCAAGTTATTTATATTTTGAATTCGTTCAGGGGAAAAGGAATACTATAGGAAACCTAGTTCATATTACTGGTGAATGTGGCTTAGTTGTTTTCCATACACATTACACATACTTCTAGGGAAACACAAAGTTATAATATCTTCTCGCTTCCCTTTCCAAGCAGAAAAAGGAAAAAAGAGTGAGGTGAACAAGATATTTTATGAACTTCCTCCGACCTCTAATCTATGTGGCTGATCTGTAAGCATCTACAGTGTTGGAGTGTTGGGCTTGTGATGCTGGAACTAATATTAGGATCACCAAATGTGTTCCAGATAAGTTTTAGGACACATGCTCTTTTGGATCAGCACCTAGAAGGGTGGAATGAAAGCTTAAAGGAGCTTGCATTCAACAACAAAGGATTTGGTACATAAACCCTTGAGATGATCTTTCAACGTTATGATGTCCTCTATTAATATCTTCAGTTCCTACTCTATGAAATGCACCAAGTGTGCTCTTGGAACCATAATGTCTTTTTACACCCTTCTATTCATGTCATTTTTAGTCTACCGTGGGGCCTTTTAAATCGCTGGCAATCCAGGACTCCACTCTGCGTAACAGGGAATTAGGGCACTACCTACTCGTCGACAATCACACCCTCCTTCTCATCGATCTCCTTCCTCCTGTCGATCAACGAAGCCCTGCAACCCCTGACGAAAACAAACAAACAAACAAACAAACACTGCCATTCTTCGTCCTCGACGAAAACGGGAAAAAAGCTCCATCGGCGTGATGCCCTAGAGAGAAAACTCGCAGACCGCTATTCATTTAATTTGTTGAATAACGGGCTCAACACATTGTGTTACACAATGTACCTGTTTTTGACAAGTGGAGGATGAAAGCTGATCCCAATACCCATAGTCGTTAAGGCCGGGGTGCATATTTGAGTTCCACTTCTACACGTTGATTAACATCTCTTGATGTATTTACTAATAAACAAGTGAAATTCTGCTTTTATTTTTATTTGAAATAATTACATATTTATAACTTAAATAAAGGTTATTGATAAAAATGCGATTATAGTAGCAAGTTTAGTTATAGTGATTTATGTTCAATTTGTACACTCAAGTGAACATGAGTCCATGAATTTATACGATAGTAATTTGTATTCATATTGTAAATAAATTATATGCAGTATTTTGATAATGTCTTCGAAAAACCTAAATTCGTAGTTTGTGTTCCTACCCGACTGAAATGCGTTGAAGGTTCAGGTCCGTTGAGTCGTCTGGAATCTGGACACCTCAAATCGGTGGGAAGCTACTGGGTGTTGGGGACTTGGGGGTTGTTTACATTATTACTAGTATTTGCACCCGTGCGATGCACGGCCGAAATATTTAATCTTGAACGTCTGAACTCATATCTTGCTGTTGAAACATAGGATTGTTCAGTAAATTTTGTGGAGGGAAACTTCCATCTCACCTCATCAACAAGGCTCATGTAACCCGCAGACAAAAATCTAGATGTGCGATGAACTAAATTTATTGGAAATGTTTGGCTGTTGCATTTTACCACTTTGCAGGACCATAATTTGTGATGCAGCTTAAACTGTTGTGATTGTATTCTACAGGCAACTGAGAATCCTTGTATGGCAATGATCTTTACATTGGTCACATCAGCAAAAGAGTGGTTATCTGAACTATTTTCCAAGGATGCTAATGATGAAAATGCTGGAGAAGCTGAAGTTGCGAAAGATGAGGTATATTATTTAACGGTCCAACCTGTGTCATAAAGATATCCAATATATGTATCAAGATTGCATGTATCCAACATGTGTACTACAATTTTAGGACTAAATGGAAAATGTGTTTCTGTCTTTAAGGTTTCTTCAAGTCAAGGTTACGTAATAGGATTGCCATTACTAATTGCATGTTCTGTTTAGATGAGAATTTTGCTTAGCGTTCCCATAAATATGACTATCAAAACTTTCCATTTTCAATATGACTAAAGAGAATTAGCGCACCTATAATACCTCTCATTACTCTTGCACATTAATTTCTTTACTAGTTCATGCCCATCGATACCTAACCCCAACCTGACTTTCCACCAATCCACAATCCTACCATCTTCACTGTCCATCACACCCATCACCACCTGGCTTTAACCTCACTATACAGCATCACAATTCACAAAACACAAACGTCATCACTGCCCATCAAGACCAATCTAACCTCGCTTCCTGCCACCGACGGACAACCCTAACATCTTCAATATCCATCCCTTTGCCTTCAAAAGGGACAAAAAAATCAGAAAAACATGATTGACCAATGGCCATCTATGTTTACTTATCACTGCGGACTGCGGTAAAAACAAGGAAAAACCAACTCCATTAACCATTGAAGATCTAGATCTTGAATCTCGATTTGCTCGAAAAACATCGAGGCCT